CCAATATCAACATAACATTTTATGAAGTAAACTCTTAAATCGTTCGTTCTGTCACAGACATATCTACGTAAGTAATGTATGCAGCGATACCGGCACGCGATTGTAATCAGCAAACTATGATTGACCTCTGCATTACCGAACAAACAATACCAAACTTTGTTTGACATGACTTAAATCAATATTGGCATATTCAGAATGGACAGATATTTTGGTAAAATATGATAAGCTTGCTCTAAAATTAGCAGGTCGGAAAGATATGCTTTATTAATAGCGAACGAGAATGATAATATAAAGTTAAAAACACGTGCTTGATGTAAAGTTTTTGTTAGGTAAGAAATGAGATATTGAGATAAATGCCATCCAGATATAAGTACGTAATCGTAAAATTGTAATTTGATAATAGATAGAGGTCCATCAGAGTTCAAGTCTATTGACACTACTTTGATTTTAAAATAGCTGCTACTATTTTACGAACATGGTTAGTTCTAAGCTGACAAAATGTATAAAAACTAATGCAGACTCAAATTTAGTTTTGCTGAAGATGTATTAAATAGAAAAAGGTATTTTAACAAATGTGTTCAGGTCAAGTGCTTTGAGTATTAGTCGAGATGAATTGTTTCACTATATTAAAAACAACATTACGATTATGGAAGAGGTAGCGACGGAGATGTCGTACTAAATAAGCTTGTTTTTTAATATATTTTGAGATGGGATGTCCACTGTGATTTGCTCATTGTATTTTGAAGACGAATGCTCCAACTGACCAGGCGGATTAACCAATCGATTCACGTTATACTGTCACGCCTATCTTTCCTTTTTTATAATGTGATAAATAACTGAGTCCAAAATATATTTGGTTATGGTTCACGATAGTTTGTTTAATGGGCGAAACATCCGATTTGGATTGAAATGAGCGTTCTCATGAGGAAATCACTAATAGTGCAATCAGGAAATGTATCTTCAATAAAAGCATCGCTTTAGAAAGTCGATTAGTCTACTACAAGAATAATTGCCAAAAAAGTTACAAATATACGTTTTTCCGTGAATTGATATGGAATAAATTATAACACATATAGCTGTGAGTCAAATTGGATTTTTCGGGTCGCCTTCTCGCGAATATAATTTGTTAAAAACAAACTCGACTAGAATTGTACATATTGTGAGACATACCGCATACGCTGATGATGGGGATAAAAGTTATTACTTATCGATCTTAAGATCGGTAAGTATGTTGATAGGTATTTGTCTGTCTGTATGTCTATTTGTCTGTTAGATGAACGCGATATCTCAAAAAGGCGAGGTTGAATCTGCTCCAAATTTTGCATGTGCATTCATCATATCTCGGACCAGAAGCCTATTAATTTTGGATGGATTATGTCGTATAATTAGCGAGTTATTAATTAATTAGTGGTGGGACACGCGGTGTCACTATAGAGTCATGATTTAAAACCGCAGTTTCGATCGATAAGTCTTCGATCTTTGACCGATATTCTCGTTTAAATGCTTCCGTTTATTTTACATTTGGGGCCTACTTCGGGGTTTTGAATAAATAATGTTTGGGTTCGGACCGAGTTCAGTATTCAAAATTGATTTAGCATCAAACTCCACCAGGAACTATCCGGATTTGATACTTCCGAATAGGTGCTAGTTCACAACGTTATCAGCCCACCGCCAGACTGCAAATAGGCCCAAAATAGACAAAATTGCTCACTTTAAAGTACTTTCACCTCGGTTTGCGTACTCGGTTCTTATCATAAAGGTGAAAGGTGAATGGGTAAACGCATGTTGTGCAATTAGTGTAAGAGATGGTGCAAGCACATATATGAGTTGCGAGAGTGCACGCATGACCTAGTTACCTCGAAAAAAGTTCAAGTGGAAGGATAAGCGTTATTAAACTCGCTAAACTTACTGACGATAGAAACAGTGGTCAATTCTAACATTCCTATACGTAAATATTTTTTTTCAACCACAAAAACAATAGAACAGTGTATTTTTTATTGTACTCACCAAAATTTAACTTTTTGTTTAATGAATAGTCTTATAAAATACGGAGATTTTCAATAAATATTTTGTGCGCAAGAGGACACGTGTCACAAACTAATTGTTACTGAGCACGGTGCCAAGTCGGCTCTTTTCAACCATCCGGCCTGTCACTGCCTTAAAACAATGTGCAACCAAGTCCCATTATTAGTTAATAATCAGTTTTATATCTGAGAATCTATTTTGACAAAAATATTTCATCCGATGCGTTCAATTTTTACGCAATTATGAAACAAAAATATGTTTAGATTAATGTTATCTTTGTGTTAAGAATCCTCTTCGTGGTGAATATAACAAACATGATACATCGCTTTTCTTTCCGAATGAGTAAAGCGCCAATTACGTCTCATTTTAATTTTAACAATAACTTGAAAGGTAAAAGGGTTACGAATAACTTCGTTTAGTTCAGGATTTTGGGAACGAATAATGCATCAATTTTGATGTATTTTGTCGAACAATTTCTTTGATGTATCTCATTAGACGTGCGCTATATCGATGAACAAATGGGTTCAGTTGAAGGATAACGACTAGTTTACTTTCGAGTCGGTTCTAAATGTGTTAGAAGAGTGATTCTAGATTTTTATTTTTGTGGAACAGATCGAACATTCTGTCGAACAAGATGAGCGCTATTTCATTGATTAGCTCAGCTGTAATGCTGATTTATGCTACGGGCACATTCTAAATTGTTTTGTATAGTCCGTGTTCGTGCATGGCATCTTTGTCTTAGCAGTGATAACAAGATAACAAATTTCACTGCTTTCATATATAACGCTTTTGATCCGCCGCTTTTGTTTTATTTATATTGTTTAGCTCAATACCCGCACACCTTAGCGCTATAATAATCTTCAATTTTAGATTTAACCTTTGTCTGAACCACGATCCTAATAAGCGGTGCGGTATTGGTATGACAAGAATGACGCGAAGCACGCGTACAAATATTCTACCCGCAAAATAATAACTCTCAGTCAAAGGGTGAATAAGAGTTTACCACTCGCGCCGTCGGAATCTTTGAAGTTGTTTTCGAGGGTGTGTGCGCGAGTTTGTGGCGAACGTTTACGCGCGAAACAAAGAAGATTCGGGTTTGAAATTACAAGTTGTTTAACGGTACATTCTTGATCGAAACGTGATTTGAATGAAACACTTCCGAACGGAAAGCGCAATTCTTCTCAATGAGTTTCGAATTTAATGCAATTGTCATCATCTACCGCTAACAGAAAGTTTAACCTAAAGAAATTGGTCATTTTGAGGTCAGGGGTCATTCAAAATATTTTTTTGTGAAAGGTCGAACGAGGTAGACTGAAGATAGGAAGTGGCAAACATAGGATAAATGAGATCGTAATTTTATGTATAATCAAGGATAATTATGACCCTTCGTTCGTTCTAATAACCTGATATATAACAGATGTTGTGAGCCCGAACTCTTCGTGAACCTGGAAGATTATAGCCAGGAATCTTTACCTGTGACGTAACGTTGTTTTCGCTTTTTCCGCACCCGCGTAAATATATTGATAGATTACCACATTTCTTTCATATTCGATGAAACTGAAAAAATTGAAGTTTTGTTATGTAACCTTTCTGGGATCAAATATTTTTTAGATAGTTTATGCTGCTTGCAATACTCCTTTATAATATAAATGACATCACTGAAAGGTCGTGACCGCTAAACAAAAACACAAATTTTAATTCAATGATTCACTAGTCGTCTGCAGTCGTCAAACCAGATTGACCCAAGCAGTCAAAATATTGATTTGCATTTCAGATGTGTCAAACAATAGAGAATTCACACAATTTTTAGTACGTGCTTAACCGAGCGCATCAGAATCAAACGACCAGGTCCCAAATTTCCAACGCTTTTGTGGCAATGGTTTTAAATAAAATGTAAATTAGGTTAAATTGCACAAATTTGTGTGAAAATTCCGTAACAGTGACGTTAAAACATTCAAAAATAAATTAAAAAAGCCAAATTAACCACAATCAAGGATATATCTCGTACATCCATATTACAGCCCATAAGCTTAAAATTCCGGACACATTCTCACTTGCATAATTAAACATCCTTATATAAGGATATATTAACATATATAAAATATCAATAAATAACCGAATTACAAGAATATTTTTCATCATTTCTACAAAGCTTCTTCTTAGTATTTTGTAAACATAAGATGTCAGACGCCAACATATGGTGAACTTTTTGTTGACAATAATTTTACTAATAAAACTGGTTATTATAAATGCTAATTGTACAATGAAACATCTGCCAAGTAAATACGCATATTCGACGAACGTTCTATTGCCCAAGTGAATTCAAAGAAAGCTGTTCAAAGAAAGCGCCAACTGCAAAAGAGACCATCTCTAAATTGGTAGCTATTTCAAATTTTAATTACGTTTTTTTTGTAAACTTTCTAGATTTATCTCTCATAATCCTAACGATCTCGCAATTTTGTCCAACCCAGGGTAAAAAATATATGAATGCGTTTAAAAATAGTTTATTAGTTCCCAACAAAAATATTATGGTTATACGCTTGAATACACATTTTACACCAAGACTTTTTCTAGTTTTTACTTTATTTTAATTCTTAATAATAATGTCCATATCACACAATGGCAAACCACAGATGGAACACATTTCTACGTCGAAAATTCTATAAATATCCCAGGAATTTTGCATTGTGAAAGTTTATTCTACTGTGACATTTAAATATTATTTTGCTGACCCGTCGTGAATTTTAAAACTTTGAAATGCAAGTAATTTTATCAAATTTCTCAACATTCTTTGACTTACGTCACCAAAATTGAACTTCACGATCCCAAGAAGGTTTGTCTTCTTAGAAGCTAATCCCGGTTATTTGTTTTGTTTTATTTGCGTTCACAACTTGCCGCGCGTCAATATAAAACAACTCGAACAGTACGGTAATCGCCAGTTTCAAAAATTACCTTACGGTGAGAGCATAGAATGAAAAGATAGAAAAAAAATTATGCAGAAGAATTTCGTGTACTTGTGACTGTCGGTAGACTGTTATCATAAACTATAAAATTTTAACTAGTTATTTTATCGTTTAGACTAGTTTGTATTCAAAAGTTTAGATTACGGTTTTGTTGGTATACACGAAGAAATCCACGAAAGATACATATTTAGCATTCGAACTTCACCAACATGATGTTAGCAATTGATTTCTTCGTACATTGGTTTTTCGACATTGTTTCGACAATTGGAACCTACTTTGGAATCACGATCAGTTTGTTATTTCTTTCAAAGTTTCTATGGCGTAAATATATCTTGAAGACTGCTGAAGATTCAACATCAAGTTTAACAGCGAGTTTACCACTTCCGCCTGGGGATTTCGGAATTCCCTTCATAGGAGAGACGCTTTCTTGGGTGATACAGGTACGATATTAAAAAATAATTTACTGCTAGAAAAGGCGTACAAGCTCCTTGGAATATTTTTATGAATTTCTGTAAATGATTCCATGATTACAATTTGATCATGGGGTGAGATGAGATATTCCCACCATCCAAGCTGATTATGTAGAACAATAACGAAGTATGGTTAATTATACCAAACTCTTGAACCCATCTACCTCAATACAACGTAGCATATTTCACCCCCTAAGTTATTTCTATAGCCCACGGAGACAATACTATATCACAATAATAACATTTTTCGTACTTCAGGGAAGTAAGTTCAATTCATCAAGACGAAAACAGTACGGAAAAATCTTCAGCACACATTTCCTAGGAAAACCAGTTATCAAAGTAACTGGCGCGGAAAACGTTCGACAGGTATGTTACAGAGATAATAACTTGTTTTATGGCGACAAAGTTTGGAGGATGAATATATGAATAAATTATGTAGAAAGAACAGGGGCATTGAGTCTGGCTAGCCAACCCAAGATACACCGCGTGTCGGGAACGATTTGATCCTCGTACCACATATTGCTTAGTAGCAAAAACACAGCAATTATCGTTTTATTACAGATGCACCTCAAACTCCCAAACGATTATTTGAAAATCCAACTTCATGTACGTTTATTTTAATTCTAGATTTTGCAAGGCGAGCACGACAAAGTGACGACAATATGGCCTACGACTGTTCGTAGGATAGTAGGTGAACATTCTATCGCTAACTGTAGAGGAGATCAACATAAATATATCAGAAAATTAGCTTTGAGAGGATTCACTCACACATCACTTAACAGTTACATCGAGGATGCGAGAAAGACAATTTCAAATAAGGTAAGTCTCAAAAAAAATTCCGGAAAAGATTTTATTATGTGGGGCTAATATTATCAGATGAAAAGTAAAAACGATCGTAAAATTCTAACCGGGGAATATTGTAAGCTGAAGTTCAATAATTTAATAACTACGCTGAATAAGAAGCAATATTTCTGTTCTGAAAAGTAAAGTGCGCAAGAAGGTTTTGAACTTGGCTATATCGGTCAAATCTACGACGTGAACCTTCGACGTCCAAATTCACACGCAAGTATTTCCGATTCTCATTCATAATTTTTTTAAGTGTGTTTTCACTGACGCAAAACAGACAAAACGACGACGGCGTTTCCCATAGTTTTCATAAATCAAATTTTCATCGAAAAACCTGATTATAAGCATCAAGATTGCCTCCTAAAATTATTTCAGAACAGATCCACCATTTTTTCGACTATTTGAGAAATGGGGATAATTTCAATATATTTACCAGATACAGCCTAATTTTCGAATTCACTCGACCAAATTGGCTACAAAATACTGTATCACAACACTTTATCAACGCTATTTAAAACATGTCTATTGTTCATTCGAAATAACGTCAGGTATTTTCGACCAGTTACGTCAATGATAAAATACTAAAAACAAAAGTACGTTTCTGTTCAATTACGCATGCAACCTCGTTCAATCAAATATATTTCATAGATATATTAGTACCAACAAGCTGTATTGTTTATGGTTCCCGATTATCGAGAAAATCTCTATATTACACAATGTGAGAAGAAATAAACGAAATCGTGATAAGCGTAATCTAATCGAGTACAGAGTGTTTTATATTTAACGCGTAGTAACTTTAACTTTGTTCGCGAAACGAAACTATGTTGTTTGGGTCCTTTTTTGGAATTAAATCTTGAACTGTGTGATATCACGATGTTGCACTTATAGTTGGTGTCGAACTTCCATTTTAAATTGCAATCTGTGGCTAGTTTCGTTGATTTATATAGAAGAAGACGTGACATTGCCCGAGGTAAATTTCATAAAAAAACAAAAACAAAGTTAAATCAAAATTTATCAAAAATGTTCTGATTAAGTCGAAACCATAATAATATTATCCCGTAAAGCCTACAAAAATTTTTGAAATAAATAAAAGTGATAAGCCCTCTAGCGAAAAATACAATCTCTAACCCCTGAAAATTTCAAAACAATTGGTCCAGTAATTAAAGTGAAAAGCGATTTTTTCCATAACAATAAAAAAAGAATTCTAACAACAACATGATATCAAAACAATCTATAGGTTCACTTCGTGTCTAATAAAACGATTTTAATTGGTAGCGTTTCAACAAATCTCAAGCAAACCCACGAACTTTCAAAATTGCATATAATGTATTATAAGAAGTAGTGGCGTTCTCAAGTTGTCAACGTGTGTGTGAAGACACCAAGTTCAAACGTAAAATACCGAGATTGTGAATTGTTACTATTGTCCTTCCAATGTACAAAATAAAGGGCCATACTCTGCACGTTTTTTGAATTGATAAACAGAACGTGGTTATTCATATAATACACGGGGTCAACCCACGAATATTTTATTAATTGTTTTGCTTATTAAATGCGTGGCAGTAAATATCAGTGATTTTATTTTTGTTTTTTAAATGATCAATGTGTTTGGTAGCAGAATTAATATTATTTTACATATCGCAAAATATTGCTACTATATATAATCAAATCAATTAGTCCCCGTCTAAACCTGTCAATAAATCAACATTGTCTAGTCATAAGTTTTGAGCAAAATATAATGTCAATCTCCATTATAATCTCTGAATAGAAAAGAATGCCATATTTCAATGAAATTTAAAGTTCACCGAAACTATACACTACGCATTTGTTCACCTTTAGACCAGACAATATTGCAAGCATCGCCTGTAATGTATCATTTCATGATATATTGAAATTTAGTATACTATATATAATTATTTTAATGCAGAAACGTGTTTAAAAGGCCAGTTTGAAACAAAATTCTCATTTGCAAAACCGATAAAATAAAAAACAATATATTACGAGTTGTTTCCTACCAATGTAGCTATATCTCATACCACGCAAAAATTTATATTGTTCGAAGATATCTCTAACTATATTGCTTTTCGTTGTTCCAATATTATCAAAATTGAGAAAAAGCTGTAAAGTAAAATTGACTGAATATTAATTTTAGATTCGTTCTTGGAGAACACATGCTGGTACAGCAAGAAAAATTTACACCGATCTGCTGCAAATGACATTCGAAATTTCCGCAAAAGCAATGGTTGGTTTGAAATTCAAAAATGATGAAGAAAAAACGGAAGCTTTCACTAATTTTCATGAGATGATAAAAAATTTGTTTAGTCTTCCGTATGATCTACCATTCTCTGGGTTCCGCAAGGTAATTATCATTTTACTATTTTACTTAATGTGGGTGTTAATTTTGCTGCATTTTTTTTAAATTCCTCGTTTTACATATTAATATATATATACGTAATGTCTTTGTGTCGCCCAGACATAACTACAGAATCGTAACTAACGATTATGTAATGGCATTCTCTCATAAAACCCTCTTCAAAAATTTGCTCCTTTTTAGCCAGATGCGGATCAGTTTATTCCTATAGTCACACAAATCATAATGGATTGAATAATTGAAATATTTATGATCTTCAGGGACTACAAAAGAAAGAATGGATTCATAAGATGCTCGACGGTCACTTGAAAAACAAACTAAAATATGCTCGTTCTAGAGGAAATGATCTGGAAGAACCAGAAAACGATGTTGTTCATTACATGTTGCAAGGCGAAATTGCGGAAAGACAAAAGTAAATAGCTTTATTTTCTACTTTAGTTTCATTTTTATACCCAGAAACTTTTATCATTCTTCTTTTCCAAATGTAATGCCTTACTTATGTAATAATATGTACTTTGTGTGTTTCAGAAATGAAGGCAGAGATTCCGGAATTGATTCGGAAAGAAGCAGTGAGGATGAAGAAGAACGTGGAATATCTATGAATGAATTAAAACAAAACGTTGTTGAGCTCATGTTTGCTGGATTCCTGACAACTGGAAGCAGCATTTCTTCTCTTATAATTCAATTGGCAAAGCATCCAGAAATTCGGAGAAAAGTTGAAGAAGAATTAGAAGAACAAGGATATTTGAGTTCTGATGATATTGAAATCGACTTGGAAAAAATTCAAAAGTTAACTTATTTAGAACAAGTTATTAAAGAAACACTCAGATTTATGCCACCAATATTAGGTGGATACAGAAGAGCGATGAAGACGTTTCAAATTGGGGTAAGGATACTTATTTTTACCGTGTATGGGCTCTAAAATACGATCATACCTTTGTATGCTAAATACTTCATTTATTACAGGACTACAGAATTCCAAAAGATTGGACAATTATTTATAACATCAGAGATACTCATGAATATGAATTCCAAGATGATACTGAATTCGATCCTGATAGATTTTCTCGTGAAAAATGGACAGAAAACCGACAAAACCGATTCAAGTATGTATATTTAAACAGCATTAATCAAAATTAATAACTAACGTAAACTGACAAATCAGACTTCAAAAGAAAAGTAATTTTGCAATACGAATCATCTAGATAAAATGGAAATGTGAATCAAAATTTTCTTTGACTATCCCATTTCGATTATAAATATTACAAGCAAAGTTCAATGCAACTGACTATATTGTTTGTTAAATTTTACTGTGTTAATATTGTTCCAACTTTTATGTAACGTAGTCGGTGTTTTCGAGTAATTCACTGTATAAAACCACATCTAATTTGATGTCATTCATTTTTTTTCAGATGGCTTCCATTCGGAGGTGGTCCACGAGTGTGTGTCGGAAAGGAGTTCGCCAGACTCGTAATTAAGTTAACAACAATTGAACTTTTCAAATCATTTTCGGATTGGAGATTCGAGAATGATAAAGCTCCACCAATGTTTCCGGTTCCTACTTTACATCCAACGAACGGTCTCCCTATTATATTTACAAAAAGATAAAAAAAAACTTTCAAAACAATAACTGACTGAAAAATTGTCTGTTGTGTCAGAATAAAACAATAAAATGAAGAGCAAATAAAATAGAACTAAAATAAGGAAAATCGGAATAAAACTATGGCCTAACCTTAACCTGGTACGCACACTACGGGAGTACATTCATTTGAATAACACATTTCAAATCGATTACTACGTGCCTGCACTGATCATCCTTAGTGTAAATATTTTACGTTAAAATATTAAGTAATAAAGAAATGCGAAAGGTGTAAAATTATGTAGTTGTATTTATTATTTATATATTTTTGTTTTATTGTTGTCCATGTTCATTTTTTAATACATTCTCACTTTGTTGTTCTCTATTTTCTTACAGTATTGATTTTTTTTGTTTGAGCAGCTTTTCATTCTGTCCATTTGTTTTTAAATAAAATCATACAACATTTGGGTATATTTCTTCATTTCTACGATATACAATACAGTAACATGAATGTAGTAGCAGGAATGATAGGAGCTTTAATTAATTTTCAGATATTTTTGAGAACACTTGATATTGGTAAAAATTTTGTAAAAGCTCATATCAATGCGAATGGCCTTTCAAGCGTCGTATTATATAAATCCCAGCGATTCAAAAAGTATCTTAGTGGTCCACCTAATGCTTTCCAACGTCTTTACACATTTCACGTGGTTACTTGAAGAACTTCAGTGATTCAGACGGAATTAATCGTGTCTGTGTTGTGGTATAGCAATCCGTACAACATCAAAGTTTGTATGCTGTTGAATATTTAAAAAATTGTAAGCCAGCAGCGAAGTACTCACACCATATATTCAACAGTGAGTTGTGGTCGGATTCATTTTTTCTTGATTAAATTCATTTTTGAAGTGGTGGAGTTCAAAAACCTTACATCTTTAAGCGAATTGCATTACGCATATTTGACGCCGTTGTTTGGCGATTCGAAAAAGATGCAAATAAAATGACTTTTGCATCAAAGTTTCGATCAAGTTCCAAACGATAATACTGATTAAACCATTGAAAAATGTTAAGAAATGAGTTGATTATAAGCATTTGCCTTTTCTATCAACAACTTAGTTTCACGAAATATTCACTGACTGCGGTGCATGCCCGGTCACCTGCATTATCCGATTAAACACTCGTCCTGGTTTACTTCTGAAGACGCGATTATTCTAACACATGCTTCATATTCTGATACCTGCCTGAGGGAACCTTAATCTATAATCCCATTGTTATATTTAGAGATGATTTCACAAAATAGTTTACAGAGTTCACATCAATTTTCTCCCGTAATTCTATAACGTGTCAATAATGATGCTTTCTTAAAGAGAAATTAAAAGAAACTATTATTATCTCGACATCGAACAACAAACATGGTTATCGTTCCACGAAACTTTTATTGCTGTCGTCGGCGTAAAACAACACTGCCCTCTAGCATATTCTGAGAACACTTCAAAATTCAATTCAACTTCAAAATATCAAATTCGATCGCAAACATTGAAAAAACGGAAATTTATATGTTAATATTCGCGATTGTTGTTATTTTTCGAAACAATAGTTTATTTTTGCAAATCTTACTGCAAATATATCACAATTCAAGAACGATTTTTGCCAATAGACAATACCTGTAAAAGAAAGTAGAATGAAGACATTATTTTGTCCCGATAAAAGTAATTTTACCTAGCATGAATCCGCATTTATTATTAGTTTGGTAAAAAAAATGTACGAAACCAACAATAACTTGGATCAGCGTCGTGGGTCGGCCTGAGTTCTTCAGTTCGAATTCGAATGTCATTATAAATCGAGAAGAATATTCATTTCAAGTACTTACCAAGAAATCATTCAGACGAACGCTTGAAATCAATGCGGATATTCCATCGATTACAGTTATGCCATTGATTCGATCTTCTTTAATTCAGATCTTTAAGCAAAATGAATATATTTGGGCTATGGCCGTTTTTTAGTCTCTTCTGGTTATTTAGAATTTTGCTCACTGACATTGCAATGTGAATTAAAGGTCAAAGCTTTGTACAATAATTCTCGTGTAGCAGGTTTAACACGACGAAAATTCGCGGTACTACTAATAAACAAAATCCTTCACTTATAAATAAATAGTAGGAAAATAAATAAGCCCATATAATCGCTTACATTGTGTATGTATTATGTCAATATGAGGTTACTCGGGTCGTGACTGCTATATTTGATTACAAAACTCTTAATTCAAGCAAGGAATGTTAATGGTATCCACCACACAACTATTCAGTACAATCAACAGATTATTGTATATATTAGTGTAGGCTACAGATAATATCCGACCAAGGAAATGAATAATATTTACCTCCCATGATGACAAAACAGCAATTCTTGTATTTTTGTTAATTCGAGGCAAAATCTGATCAAGGATTCACTGAACTTCCGAACATGTATTTATTAGCATTTAATTGAAAAAAGTATTTCAAAATTGTCGATAAATCAATTTTATTTGAAGTGGTGTGAGGGAAATGGCTGAAACGTACCCATGTTAATAATGACGTTACACCAAGTTATATTCATAACAAAGATAATTAAATAAATATTATCCTTGCTAGAGCGATCAAACAGTTCCAGAGGATATAACAAATTTCAAATAATTTCAGAAATACAGAGCAATCATATATGTAATGTATATATTACCGTTTTCACACAACACAAAAATATAAGTCTAAAAAGCATTGTTAACAGAGAAATGATATCATGCTCTTTTTCAATTTGAATTCTGTTTCAAGGTGCAGGTATACAGACAGGCGTTTCATCTGCTTTACCACAATTTCAATGAGCTTTAGCGTACATAATGAGTGTGCATGTTAAAAGGCAATACATCGAAAATTCATATACATAACATAACATAGATAGATCGTGAGGCACTATCGTGTCGGTTTAAAACAGCGACAACAAAAACGTGCTTATTCTACGTTATTTTGATTGAGATTGCTGCTTACTTCTCGCGATAAGAATTAGCAAGTTTATGCTATCTTGTTTACATGAACTATTGATGAACAAAGAAATTTTCACCAAACACGAGGTCAGCCGTCATCCAGCACTCATAATTAATTTGGGAGAGAAAGTATTTGTTCTTCAAGATTATACATCTTCTATAACTGAATTTGAGTATACGAGTTCGATTAGACCAATGTCATGAGCCTTCAAAAATTACCATACCGTTGTTGTAGACTGAAACTATATATATATATATAAAAGCAGCATCGGTCACAGATTAGACTATCTAATCCCAGCGAGTCACTCGCGAAAAACTAAATTAAATGTGCACTTAACTTAGAATGTCACAAACGTATGGATTTCTAAATTACATTCATTGTATATCCGACACCTCAATCGGGTTATTTTAGGAATATTGACATTTGTATACAACTTTGGACGGATTGTGGTCTGGTATTTTGACATCGGATGAAAATGATGCTTTGTACGTAAATCCGGACTACCGTTTCACTATCGCACAACGCTATTGTTTCCACGACATGCAATACAACAGAGTAGGTCATGCTTTTTCTGTTTAAAGTTTGTCCTCCGGGCTAAGTTTGCTTTTCTTTGAAATAATGTCAATTTTTGTGCGAGTTCATATTCAAATCCAGTCTACTATGCAGCTTTAATATTGTTCCTTGTTAAATTACATTTAAAGTGTTAGATGGATTGAGACGGTAAACAGGCATGTACCATTAAGAACGACCAGAATTTCATTATATCACAAGATATAAATGTATTTTATTTCTCAATAGATATATATATATACTATATATATAAATTGCTGTACATTTGCTATATACATTTCTCTCATTTGTATGTACACCAATGCCACCAATACCGTCATTTACGGACCAAAAGGCGCACAGGGTTATAAGATGTAAAGTCAATTGGGGCTTTATTCATACATGAGGCGCATCGAAATATAACACCCAACCAAGGTTCCCTCTAAGCTGCGCAACTGCGCAGTGCCACCGGAACATTAGCGCAGTAAAATCTCATTCTCGCGCAGTTGCAACATTTCGTTATCAAAGCGTGGCTCATATTTTATATGTCTCATTTATTAACGCTTAACTAAAATGCTCGTTCTATGTTTCACGCGTATTTTGGTGATCACTGGTCATTGTGAAGTCACACACGTGTATGTCACGCTCAAGTAGGCCTACATTGATTTCTGTATGCCGCAAATTTATCGCTGTTCCGCGTTAAGGAATCTGATAATCTGCAAAATTTGTCGGAAGTGGCACCTAATAGTGATTTGGAAAAGGCAAATCTTGGATGGGAAGTTGACTATCTAAGACGCCATTCAAATCAGAAAAAGCATATTGACGCACTAGATCAGTGGTTTCCAACCGCCGGTGCCGGTCCACGAAGCTATTTTGCCGTTCAGTGAGAAATTTCGTTTTGTTGATTTTCTGCCGTTTCGATAGTTTTATCGAATCCAAAAAGATGGATTTACATTGGTTTATTACGCGTTTCTCTTCCGTCGTCATATTACTGTTTGGTGAGGGCGGTATTAATCGCCTGGCAACGTCTTGGCTCCGTGTGATCACACTTTTCGTTTCCGATTCATCGCAAAATCGCTCCGTCAAATCTCACAAGATTCATAAACCTGGAAATCAGCATGTGTGCTTTTTCCGTTCTGCGTGCTTTTCTTCATTAATATTACCTTTCAAATATAAGGTTATGAATATTTCTTTGTTTAAACTAGAAAACAGTCAAGAATTGTATAATATTACAGAGTATGCCTTGGGAACCAGCAAGATATGAACTTGTTGCGGCCCAGCAGGTGGTCATGAGACGCGCAACAAAAACATTAAGATCTTTTCTAGGTGATGCACAGCAGGATTTTGACCCCCTGGTGTCAAGTTAGAAACTACTTTATCATTGTAGAATAAATTCATTTGTCTGGGGCATCGATCAAATGCAGAGGGATGATATGATGAAACCACTAGTTTACAGTCCAGATTTATAAAAGAATCACTGTCACAATATTTGAGCTCTCTCGATAACGAATGCTTATCGCTTGGTAATTGAACAATCAAACTGTTGTCCAAATATTCAATCTTGTACGAAAAAAAATTTATCATCGTTAGCTTTAACTAAAACGAAGCAAAGAAATAGACTGTGAGCCACTGCAGAGCTAGGTGTTGCAAAACCATTTTTTATGCCTCGTTTGCAATCTTGTATTGGCAACGAAACAGCAGCAAATTCTCGCTCGAGGTAATTGTGTTTGCACATGATTTGGCATGTACATGTTTTTTATGTGAGGTTTTTCTTGGTGTATTTTTTACGCGAAATCGATGCCCAGCACTTCATGTTATTATGCAAGTATATGTTATTATTTTATGTTCCACCTATTTCCCTTTTTGCCGGTCCGCGAATACATTTTATTTAATTTAACCGGTCCGCCA